AAATGTTCAACCTCACTAATTAGGGAAATGCAAATAAAAACCACAATGAGATACCACCTCACCCCCGTCAGAATGGCTATCATCAATAAATCAACAAACAACAAATGCTGGTGAGGTTGCGGGGAAAAGGGAACCCTCGTGCACTGCTGGTGGGACTGCAGACTGGTGCAGCCACTGTGGAAATCAGTATGGAGGTATCTCAAATAACTGAAAATGGAACTACTTTATGATCCAGCAATTCCACTCTTAGGTATTTATCCAGAAAAACCCAAGACATTAATTCAAAAAAATATATGCACCCCTATTGTTTATTGCGGTGCTATTCATAATAGCCAAGAGTTGGAAACAACTGAAATGCCCATCGGTAGACAACTGGATTAAGAAACTGTGGTACATTTACACAATGGAGCATTACTGAGCTATAAAGAAGAAGGAAATAGTACCCTTTGCAACAATATGGACGGAAATAGAGAACATTATGCTAAGTGAAATAAGTCAGTCGGAGAAAGACAAATACCATATGATCTCACTTATATGTGGAATCTCAAAAACTGAAGAAATGAGAAATGTAAACAGAAATAGTCTCAGAGACACAGAGGAAAAACTGATGACTGCTTGTTGGGAGGGGGTGGGGATGAAGGAGAAGGGGAAGGGATGAGACAATACAAATTGGTAACTACAATATGGCCTCAGAGATAGAAAAGAGTCTGGGGAAAATAATCAATAATATTGTAAATATATTTTTAGGGGGCCAGATGGACTCACGTCTTGTTAGTGAGACCACTTCACAGACAGTGTAGAGGTCTGACCACTGCACTGTATTTATGAAGCTGATGTTGAATAATATTGTATGTCAACTATAATTATATATACATATAGTCACGGGATGTGAAGTAGAGTGTGGGACTGGAGTCAATGGAATTGCAATAGATAAGTATGATATCAGGGGTGGGAGGGCAGTATATGGCGGAGGGAGGTTGTGTTTTTTTGAGAGGTGAAAAGGATAACTATTGCATTGTTCTGTATACCTAAAACTAATAATAAAAAATAAAAAATAAATTAGCTACTAATTTGTTAGATTTATTATGATTTTTAACTAATTAATGTATATAAAGAAAATAGTAAGTGTTCAATAAATTCTATAACAAGGATTTCATCTGTATATATTTTATAGCAAGGAGTTAAACACCAACGAAGTTTTTCCAATTTGATGTCATCATCATTTAGAGCAAATGAATCGCATCACATGACAAGGTAACGAAGGCCTTATATATGAAATATTGACAGATCTCTCCATTTTTGTGTTATTAATATTGTGTGCCTTCTTTCTTCATTTCTTATTCAAGGAGTATCCAATATTCTCTTAGCATGATGGATCATACTGACAACACTGAAAACAAAACAATCAGTAAGAAACAGGCTTTAATAAAATTAGCCCTCTTGTCCAAGAATGAGATGGAAGGAAGGAAGGAAGGAAGGAAGGAAGGAAGGAAGGAAGGAAGGAAGGAAGGAAGGAAGGAGAAAGAGAGAGAGAGGGGGGGGGAGAGGGGCTATGTGAGTAAACAAATAGGACATAAAAATAAAATGATTTCATAAAAATATTGTCAATCTGTAGCTCAGAAACTGAAGTCTAGATATTATCTCCAACTGATCTTAGAAGTTAGTCAACACTGATTCAATGCTACCTAGGCTGAAAGGGTATTATTAGAACACCATCTCATTTCCAAGCAAATGCACATATAAATTTTCTTTTTAGTAATTTCATGACTTAAAGTAAGGCCTTGAAATCCATTTACAAAGATAATGTAAACACATTAAGTGTTGAACTGTGTCTTCCAGATAATAATTATAATTTAGGTGTTTCTCCTGTAACGTGATCTGTGTTGCCTTACAAGACTTTGTGCTCTGTAAAACCATGTACTAAAGTAACGGAGTTTATGAAGAAATAAGGTTGGAGCGGGCCACTCAAAACTATGCAACTTTGTAACCAGAGCAGTATAAAAACAAAAATTGTTCCTGGAACAATAACCTCAAGAGCCCAGTAAGGCAACTCTCAGAGAGTCTAGAAAATGCCACAGCAGAACAAAAGAGTGGCAGTGTTGGCAACATTTACATTAGCGCACAGCTGGCAGGGCTGCACAGCACAGGAGGAGGGAGGCTGGGGGTGAGTGGGAAGGAAGGTGCGCACTGGGGGCTTCACTTCTCTGGGGAGGGTGCCTCAGAGGCTGCTGATGTTTATTTTGTTAAGGATACAATTTATACATTCCTAGTGCTAGTGTGGTAATCAAGCTGAGTTTTCTTTTTCATTTTCTGTTGAAGGTTATAACTCGATTGCTGCTGTAACAGTGCCCCTTGCCTGGAAAAAGATCATGAACCAGTGCAATTTCCTGGTTCTACAAAGCTCATTTCCTATTGATCAACTGCATGAGAATTAATTTGCCTTGTAGGTTATCTAATGTGACCAAAATGCTGTTAAGAAATTTAATATAATTTGTTTTACAAAAATTACAAAGCAATTTACTAAGGAACGTGTTGCTTTTTACTACCCAAAAGAGAGTTATAATTTGTATTCAAGTGCTGAGGATCTTTGAGGTAACTGAATACTAAGCAAAACAGTGAGGTGATGGACCCAAAATAGTAATAGAAAGGATTAATATTTCAATAATAGCTAATGCATTCCTGGCACTAACTGCTTTTCATGGATTAACGCAGTTAATCCTCACAGCAATTCTTATAAGGTAGGTTTTTTACCACCTCATTTTTACAGACAAGGAAACTGAGGCACAGAAAGGTTACATCACTTGCCCAGGGTCATGTAAGTGGGATTTGAACCCAAGCCCTCTGCTCCGGAGGCTGCACAGGTTTGGCCTGTACGGCCCAGTCTCTGCCTGCAGGCTCCTCGTGAATCCCTGAATTAGGCAGAGGTAGCTCCTCCAGGTATGGGCAGAGACATAAATTAAGAGGGAGCCGTTGTGAGAAAGATTTTAGTTACCTGAAGCAGAGAGGAAGACAGAAAGCATCTGGGCACACACTGCAGCTTTCCTGGTATAGTAGCTCGTGTGCTGTCATCTCCTACTCCTTGCTCTTCACAGAGGCCAGCCCCAAAAGTCCTGTGCTTTTTCATGCTTTCATACCAGCCCTGGCTCCTGGGAGGAAGAGAGTGTAGCGTTACTTTGGTTAAAAAAAAAAAAAAAGTAGATGCTGGAAGAACAGTCTGACTATTTCTCTAAAATACAAAGGGATCTTTCTGGGGATCTTTGGGAATCTCCAAATCCATCATTAACATTTTCCCAACTTCCTTCTCTCCTGGGGAGGTGGCAGGGCACGGGGCATGAAATGAAATAAATAATATGAAACAGAGGAAGGACTATTGAATAAAGAGAGACCCGTAGCCCCCGGAGGACCAGCCTGGTGTTCCAGCAGGAAGCGGGAGGAGGGCCTCTGAGGCACGAGGAGCTTCAGCGGAACGTCCAGGCCCCGCTCCAGGGACAGGCTGAGGAACCGGAGGAACTAAATGGCCTGGGAGACTTTGGACTTAACATCCAGGGGTCTCTGTTTGCTCTTTTTACCCTCAGCCTGTTTCCAGCTGTTTCCAACTTCAAAAAGATTAAAGGATTGTGGTGCATTGAGGAATTGGAGAGTAGGAGGGTATTTATGGCTGATCCTAAGGCTTAGGAGCCAGAGGAGGAAAGAAACCTTGATCCCAAGAAACAGGTGGGTACAGTGGAAATCAAAGCAATGGGACAAACCCAAGAATTCTTGAGAAAAAAGAATTAACCCAAAGCCAAGAAGAAACCCAGGGGACAGCCATCTGGAGGCCAAGCCCCTACAGCAACCCCACTCTGTCCTGGGGAGGGAGTGGTCCCTTCTCTAAGAATGGCTCCCTAGGTCCTGAGAGCTGCGGTCCCTGTTTCCATCATGTGAGAAGGATGGGGAGCCCCAGGAGCCCCTGGGGCCTTTGCACGAAGATCAGCGATTCTGGAATCCTGTCCCGTGTTAAAACTGGAAGGCATTTCCCAAAAGAAACATTAGGGTATGTAAGCACAAATAATGTAACAAAATAGAAACAGTCAAGGAACCACTTTTAGCTCAATACAGTTAAATGATGAGGCAAATGGGAAAAAGAAAGGATATAAATGGGAAAGACTAGAACTCAGTTTTATCAGAGTTGATTCATAAGCCACCAGGGATGATGTTTGGCCATGAATCTAGGATCAGTGCTCAGGGGGTCCATGTTACTAGGTTTGGAGATGGGAGACAGAAAGAACCATGGGAGAGGGGCATTTATTTAATGGGGGCTGGAAGAGGGGTGGAGTTTAAGTCTGTATCTCCCAGCTGTGTCCCCCTGGCCACGCTCACAGCACTGACCTGATGTGCCAGTTCACAGGGCAGACTCCTGGGGTCCTCCCCAGGCCTACTAACCCAGGACTTCTGGTGGCAAGGCCCAAGAATCTGCACTTTAACACTCTAAAACTTTAACATTCTTCTACATATTAGTATTGGAGCACCACTGGCTTAATTTTTATTACCTAGAAATTTGGGTGCCTGGATGATAAATGAGAACAACGATCCAATTATCTATCATAACCACGAGACTGAGCGTCCGTAAACAAGCCATAGTATTATAGCTGAACAAACCTCGTCACGATGGCAACGTCCCTAACACACCTAAATGTTATTTTGCTGCATAGTAATTAGGTGTAAATGTGAATCCATTTCCCTAAATGATTGCGATTCGTGTTACTTCAAAACATTTTCATCCCAGCATTTCCGCAGGCAGCAGGAGAGAGAGAGACATGAGCCAGAAGGGTGTTGTAAGGACACAGCTGAAGAATACCAGCTCTTCCTAGCATGGGATTTGGGAGGTTAGGGATGTTGTTCCCTTCAGGTGAGATAGATGCTGGAGAAACAAGAGGTCATAACTAACCTCTTCCTTTCCTGGATAGAAGGTAGAGCCAGCCACCCACCAGTCTCGGTTTTCCTGTCCCAGGTAAGGGCCCTCTTAAAGCCCCAGGTCCCCGATTCCTTCCCAGAAGCCCAGCATGCTCATCACTGAACCTTCTAGAGCTCTGCTCCTCCCTTCCCACAGCCTGCCTGGAGGGAAGGGTGGTCAGATCGGCCCTCATGAGCAGTACAGCACTTCGGCAGTGCGGGACGATTCACAGCCTAGGACGGAAGAGAGCCAGATGCTGTCTGGTCCAGACCTCTCTTTTTGCTGGTGGAGAAAAGAGGCTCTGAAAATTGAAATGACTTACTCAAGGGCATGGAACTCATTCAGGGCAGCTCTGCACCTGGAACTCGGGTTTCCTAACTCCTCGCACACTTTTCCATCGTGTGCCTGAGCTGTTTGGCTCTGACCAGGCAGAAGGTGAGCAGGTGACTCCAGAGCATTGTACACCAGGCACAGCTGGGCCTGTGAATAGCTTCCTGCTCTCTCTCTCCCCTAGCTCCGCATCACCAGATCACTCCACCTAGGGATCACCCCATCGTACCGGCATATTTAAATCACAACTCACTTAGTATTGGCCAGCAAAATCTTAAGCACTTGCAAAAGCCACGTGGCACATCTCTTACTCTCCATTTGGCTGATGATGGACCATCACTTTTGACTCCTATTTGTTATTTTCTAGCAAATGTGCTTACCCACTGTGGCCAGAGGGACCAAAATTAAATTCCATCGTTGCTTGTGTTAACTTTGAAAAGCTGAGGTAATGTAGCTTGGAAATAAAGCAAGGTTCTGGGGACAGATGTTACTCCACTCAGTCCAGCCCGGTTCAATTTCTACATGCTTAGGTCATCAGCGAGGGCTGGGAACTTCCTGGGAGATTACACTTCGTCCCTACCCATGAGGGCTGTTTCTAGGTAAGTTTCAGAGTTGTACAGCAGTGTCCTCAAGTCTATCAGAACCTCTGCACTTAAGAATAGCCATGTCCCATAAGAGTCTAATGGAGAAGTTTGGGAGGGAAATAATCAAATCGCTAGTTACTTCTCCATTCAGTTGCCAAATAGCATATGGAAGCATGAGGGCATATGTTTTTAAAAGCCCCATCTGTTCTAGTCTATAGGTGAGTTTTGTTTCAGCATGACTAAGTGGATGTGAAGATGTCTAGCTGTTAGTTGAAACAGGTCCTTTACAAGAGTTTATCCTCAGCCTGAAAAACTCCCAGAAACATCACATGAGTATGCTTAGCTCCTGTCAAGCGATGCTCGATTGCTCTATAGGGGGAAGGGAGGCCTCCAAGCTCCCGGGTTCCAGCCAACAACGAGAAATTTGGCAAGTTTACCAGGGCAGGCTGCTAGATAATTCTTCTAAAAGTTGTCCTGGAATGGTGAAAGCTTTGACTCTAAAGACCTTATCCAAGAAATCCCCCAAGGTCCCACACCATCATGAATTCTACATTTTTCTTTTTGGAGCAGCTAAATGATCCTGTCAAGAATAGACCCCATGGTTGCAAGGAGAAGAGAATGACATTTTTAGTAGGAATTCAGTCATCACTTCACTCCTCTGCAAGAATGAAGGGGGGAAAAGGTGTTAGTGGCATATAACCAAATATAATAGTTTTAGCTATGCGAAACTCTTTATACATCTTGGAATTTTTGAAGCTAAAGTTGTCTGTGCCAAGATACACTTGGGCAATACAACCTGAGAAAACAAAGTTTTAAATAAAGCATTCTGACATCTTTTGCTAATGACACATGCAATTTTGTAATCTACCAAACTTACGACTTTCCTTCCAGCTTGAGAGAGTGCAACACCATAGGTGTCTGGCCCCAAACCAGGAAGAAAGTTGGGCTTGGCCTCACCTCTAGATTCTCTGTGGCAGCTGATCCAAGAGGCCTAGACACAAACAGAGAACTAATACATCACCCCCTATGCCGAGACGTTGGGGGGACCTGTTCCCATTCCCTTGGTTTCTAATTATAATTATGTGCAAAGACTTGGGCTGGGAATGAGCAATGCTGATGTGAAATTGTTCTGGACCCAAACAAAGGTGGCATGAGCTCTCTCCTTCATGCTTCAGAAGTTACCCAGGAAACCCAAAGCCATCCTTCTGTAGGCTGCTCACAGTAAGGGTTCCATGTTACCTGTGAGAGCCAAGCTCAAAGTTAATATGATTTTCTGCAGTTTAAACATTCTAATTAAATACCTGAATTTATTTTTTGGAAGAAAGAGAGCAGAACATTTATTTCAGTCACAGAAATAACCATGTCTTTGGTTTGTATTAAAGACTGCTGGTCTCCCAAGCTCTGTTTGAAATTCACAACATGGGAATTTATAGAATTTTCATAAAAGAAATTGAAATTACAGTGTCTCCATGAACTCCCAGGGTGTACTTCTATTAACAAAAGATGTTTTGCTTTACTCACACCTGCTCAGTTCTCCGTGGGGGCTCAAGCAATACACATTCCAATAGAGCAGCGTCAATAAAATCAAATAAAAATTAAGTTCCAAGGAATGAGATGGAGATATTACCACATAAAGTGCATTTGAAAAGGAGCTGAGCTCTTGGAACTGGCTAACTTAGTAGAAAATTGTTACAGAAAAATAGATTTTTTTCAATCATAAATCATACAATTTTGACTTTGTTGAATTCTCTCTCTGACAACTTGAACACATCTTCCCTCTGTCTCTGTGTGTGCACGTGGGTGTGTGTCAGGGAGAGAAAGAAACAGGTGGGGAAGATTTGCAAAAGGTAGGAGAAAGGGATAAAAGAACTAGCAAAATAGGAACTTCTTTTTTCTCATTGCCTGTTACTGGAAAGAATTAGGGAGCTTTCACAAAGGCTACCTAAATTAATGTGTTTATACTCATTAAATTACGGTCTTAAGAAAAGAAAGCTCATGTTTCCTTTACTCTAAATCCATGAAATCCACTTCTCTTAAGAAGCTTTCTGTCTTTGGGGAGATAAGGTCAGAACTGAATTCCCCCTAATTGCCAACACATTCGTATTTATACACAATATCGATATTTCTAGGCTTTTGTTGTTGTTGTCCTGAGAGTCACAAAACATGGAAGGAGCCCTCTCTCTGCAGAGCATTACATTAATAGTCACCCTCCCTCCACACACACAAGCTCACAGGGATCATGTTGAATTACAAGGAAAAGGCAGGGGACTTTGCCTCGAAAGAGATTACTCATTTGGGGGTGCAGGAAGATGACAAATACATGAGTGACTATTTTACTTGTGAGAGGGAAAGTAACCTGTTATCTACATTTTTTGGCTGCTTTTGAAGGAAGGAGGGTCCAAAAGAAGACCCTTCACAAAGTGAAGGGTGTGAGGATGGCAGACTGGGTGCTTTGGGCAAGGCTGACTCATTGCTGTGAAGGGGAAAGATGGGGATGGAAGTGAGGCTGCCCATGGCTGAAAAGAAGCTCTGGGAGGCGACAGAGATGTGCAACGCGGACTTCTGTTGGCTTTTCATTCATTCATTCATTCACTTTGTTCAGACATTGTTACTGAGCACCTGCTGTGTGACGTTCTCTGTGCTTGATACTGGAGATAAGGCTGACCCTCATGCACCTTCAATGAAGCACCTCGCTTCCTGGTGGAGTGGATTTTCTTTTGGAGAAGGTAGGAAACAGCTCAGGAGACTTCGCCAACAATTACACCGAGTGAGAACACCAGGGCTGCCAGGAAGGGCAAACCACACCTGCCTTACTCACATTTTAGACTGGGTGTCCATGAAGGAACAAACCCAATGTGTTGGCTCTTAGTTGTCACAACTGACTTGGCGATCAAGAATTGCAAGCATCTAAAAGTAGGAAGAACATGCGTAGCTGCTCAGGAATGTGGAGGGAAGGGAATAGTTTGCTTTGGATTGCTGTAGTCACTTCTCAGTATAGTAAGGTGGTTTTATTTAGTTAGCTTGTTCTTTCACCTTGGTCTGGAATAGTCTTTGGAGTTTACACCTCTAGAGCAGATTTTCAACGGAGATGTCCCAACAAACTGGTATGCTGTGAGGCGTGCTGTCATTTCTTACTAATAATAAAGTTCCAAAAGTGTGCAAGTGAAGCCACCATGATTTTTTAAATGAATAGTGTAAAAACCTGGATACCTAAAAGCAGCTTTTCCTCCCAAATGTCTCAATCTTCTCCACTGCTGTGACACATGTGGCAGTCTATGTTTATGTTTACATGCATGACCCAATGGGTGTTCCCAGCTTAGTAGCTGTAATGCCACTCCTTTCTGTCCTATTGAAGAAGGAAATGCAAGTGAACAAGAGAGAGATTACTATGGGCATTATTATTCCTTAAGGCTAAATTCAGGCTCAGTGGAAAGAGTACTGTGATTGATTGATAATGTCTGCCATCAATATGGGAAGGCATGTGGCAGTGCATTGTCACGTATTTGCCATTTCTGAGTTAGACATAATAACTTCTATGAGCTCTCTGCTGTTGTAGCTCTTCAGTTTGCCTTATGTTGTAGTCATCTGTGTTGCAGTCTCCTGTAAGGTTGTATCTTACATAGCTTAGATTCACTCATACCACCTAGCCTGGTCAGGTCTTGCCACTGAAGGAGACTCAACAGATGTCAGAATTTGATTGACTTTATGTACCATTTAGCTCAGTGCTCCTAATCTGTATGTTCTCTTAACAGTTATTGTCATGAAGGTGGCACCCTTGGCAACCTGGATCCATAGAACACTCAATATAGAGTAGGGACACAAAATATTTTTCTCATTAATTGTACTAATAAAATATAGTACATTTTGGTCAATAGTAAAACTGAACTCCACCAGAAATTTGAGACAATACAATATTAACAAATTTTTTTTCAGAGCCAATGTTGCTCAAATATGAATACGAGGTTAGAACCCTGAAACCATTAAATATTTGACATAACTTATACTCTTTCTTGGCTTGCAGATACTAAGCCTGGATTAATTGATTTAAAAAGCTCATTTCCTTATAGTTCTGATTCCTTAACACTCCATTCTTTTAGCATTTGAAAACAGTCAGTAACCACATTGAAAAGGACAGCACCACCTGTCCAATAATTTCACCCTTAACTTGAAGAATCCAATAAAAAAAGCAAATAAATAAAAATAATTGCTATTGTGAGATGTTTCAATGAAATTCTTCTTTCAAGACGTAGCATAATGCAAGGGTTGAAAACAAGCAAGTTTTTTTGAGCTAGACTACCTAGGTTTAAATTCCAGCTCCAACATTTACAAGCTGTGACCTTGGGCAAGTATTTAACCTCTGTGCTTCACTTTCCTCATCTGGAAAAGAGAACAGTGTTCAGAAAATCTTGCATATTCTGATACGTGGACAGGGTGCCTGAAAAGTCATTATAAGGCAGGACTGGAACACCACGTCACATGACATGAAGTCATTAAAATTATTTTGATCAACATAAAGATAATTTTCTAATCAACCCATTGCTGTTACTTTCTCTCTTAATGATGGATTGACTACTGTCATGCACAGCTCCACTTTGTAATGCTGCTCTTTAATTATACATGAGTGAGGTCTGTTTCTTACTATGTGCACACCTGGAGAAAGTCAATTCTATGTACACATGGCCTTTCTAGCTACATGATCCATATTTATGTTCTCACTGATGACCAAATTCTAAAGTCTTAATGTCAGCCAGTTCTTTAAAGTGGCTCAAAACTAATATATTACAGGAGAATAGTTGATGGGGGTCTGGGGTCCATTCCTGGAGACAGAGTGAACCTGGAAGGCAGGCACTCTGGCGTGAGAACCGGTACCACGCAGAGAGGTTCAGAGCAGCCATGAAGCAACGTGATAAGGGGGCAAGTGAACAGTGGAGCTAAGGAAGGAAATCAGAGGTCAGCCTGATGGAAATAGTATCAGACCATAGGTCAGAGGAGCAGGAAACAGGTCTAGGGCCATGACCTGGGACAATCAGGACCAGGTGGGGAAGGGGAAGTGGCCAGCAAGATACACTGGGGCAAACATTTCAGGACACAGCCTGGGAGCCCAGAGGATATGGGGTACCTTTTGAATAGGTGACAACAATGTGTTGTGGGATAGACCTTCTAGCTTAAAGACTTTGCAAATTACCTTGCTGTAGGTCTTCTGAGGTGCAGTGTTTATACCATAATAATCTAAGTTAATAGGGAATTCCCATTTCTTCAGAACCTTTTCAAGTATGAGATTGAAGTGAACGGGCCCGGAACTTAAACTCCAACCTCTTCATTCTCCAGGCCTCCATACCGCCACTGAGGATGCCTCTGGGGACAAAACCCCTTTAAAACAAAATGATGTTCATAAGTTACATGAGCAACACTGGTGGGCATCACATAACCAGATGACCAAACTACATCACAAAGGCTCAGTCACACAAAGCTCAAGCTGCACAGGCCAACCTCATGCCAACCCGGGGTCTTTATTCCTGTCCTATACCTTTCCCTTCTCTGGGGTCAGCATCACTCTGTCTTTTAAACCACTCACCTTGTGAGCAGTCACAGCAACAGCTGTGCCCATGTATTAAGTTTTAGGATGTGCTAACTCCTTTACATGTAACAGTAGTTTAATCCTAGCAACAGTCCCCAGGGTAGGCATTATTATTATTATCCCCATTTTGTGGATGAGGAAACAGATGCCTAAAGATTAAGCAACTTGCACAAGGTCACTTAACTGGCAACCAGCAGACCTGGGAATTAAATCCAAGTCTGTTTGCTACCAAAGCCCAGGCTTTTTTACCATTCTGCTGAGGTTCTAATAAGAATGAATTACAGCTACTGATGGATTAATTACACCCAGTGAACATAAGTTTTAGGCAAGATGTTATGACTCTCAGGATTTGTTTTAAGGTATTTTATCTTGAACTGTGGAACAAAAGTTTGGGTCCTAAATTAAAAGGGCTGGCTGGAGGCAGCAGGAAGGGGAGGGCTCGGTGATGGAGTGGGTGAAACTGTACAAGGCCAGGTGTGCTCCGTTGGGTTGATAATTCTTTTAGTATGACCAGAGTGGGTGATCTGAAAAGGTCAGCAGGCTCTGCCCCACCCCTTCCGGAGAGATCCGGGAGGAGGACCAGCCCAGGGCTGCCTGGGCTCCCCGCCAAGCCTATTTTCAGAACCTGCATTTACTGGGCCAACTTTCTTATCAACTTGCCCTGTGGCCTAGAACCCCCTGAGACCTAAGACAGACGCGTGCTTGGACGCTTTTCCTCCTGCGGTCCATCCTCTGTCCTCCCTCTGAACCTTTCCCCTTCCTCTGGCACTTTCCTCATCTGGCCCATGTGATGCTGCTGATAATAACAGCAAACACGTACATTTTATTTACTGGCTAAAACTCTACCTAGTTCAACTCATTCGATTCTATTTTCCTGAGCGTTTTAGAATATTTTTCTAAACAATCCTCTCTTTGTTCTCATTCTAAAGTACATTCTTAGGTTCCTTATGTCATTTCTTACCTTTGATGATAGTGTCTTGACGACAAAATCTGTCACTAGAGTGCATCCTCTTTGTCAGCAGAGGTATAGTGCTTTGCTCCCTTCTACATTCTACTGTCACCCCTGCTTTGCCCCTCTGCCCTCCCACTCAGCTCCCAAGCACCCTGTTCAGTAGCATTTGCAGCATTTTCCAGGTCTTTCCAGGTGCTTTCCTGTGAATTTACTCCTATTTTCTCTCACTATCTTTTCCCCCTCTCTACCACATATTTGCAGACTTGTGATTGTCCTTAAAAATTGGCTCCAAATGTTGCTGCTTTTTTAAATTTATCTTTAAGGAGTAAAGTCATCAGCCCTGCAACCCAATGCTGGCCACAGACACACCCTCCTCTCCCTCTGTCCTGCTCTGCTGTTAACTAACTTGTAAATTGGGAACAAACATAAAACAGTGACAGTTGCACCCCACACCCCATCACTCCCTTCACACTGAGGAAGGTCTGTGGGCCACATTAGGCTGCTCACCATCTCCTCCCCTTCCCTTCTATCCCCTTCAAGAAAAAAGTATTCAACAGAGATCCATGGACCTTGCAGGGCCAAAGGACAAAACAAATATCTTTACAACACACCATAAGTCACCATGAAATGTGTGCCATCATTTCCATGGTTTTGATAAATATGAGGTGTGCTTAAATTAGAGATCATAAATTTGGGAGCCTAGAGGAGATGACTTGGATTTAATAGAACAAACTGCTATATGAAATCTGTCTTCTTAAAGTTAATTAAAGGAAGTGGAAATGGTCATCAATTAACAGAATCTAGCTCTCCAAGGAATAGTTTGTGAATACAAATGTATGTATACATTTGTACATACATATGGGCATTATGTGTGTAGATAATCATGTGTGTCTGTATTTATATACAACTCCTGATTCAAATAAGGAGATACAAAGGGATTTTTTTCTGATTTGTGAATTTATTCATACAACTAACATTATAAACATAGAATCAAATAATATTTCATTGGACGGTTAATGCATACTATTATTGTAAAAAATATAATTTTATACAAATTTTGTATATCAATACAACTGCATACAGAGTCCCCATGTTATGTATTCCACCCTCCTCTTAGACAATCAACACAGGGCATTATTTTATTTTATTTCTTTTTTTAAAATTTTAAATTGGGGAATTGGGGGATGGAAACAGCGCTGGGGAATTGGGGGAAGTAGAACAGACAAGTTGCTGTCCTTTTGTTCTTCAGTCTAGTTGTGGAGGATGTTGCTTCACAGGCCCAAGTTGGCACCATCATTGCGTTCTTCCAGGGTGAAGCAGATCAGTCGCCGGCTTCTGGACGGCTGTTCATGGTGGCTGCTGGCTACACACGGTAGCCCATGGTAACCCACTGCCACAGGGGCTGCAGCCTACGCCGTCGCTGGCAACTCACTGCAGCCCAGCTCCAGGTTGAGCTGTTGTTCAGCATTTTAGCTGTAGAGGGCAGTGTCACTGGCCCTCATATGTGGGATCCGAACCGGGGTCCTCTGGTGTCCCAAGCCAGCTCTTAACCAATGCGCCACTCGGCCGGCCACAGGGCATTATTTTAAAAGGTCACTATTTAAAGACATTCAAGAATCCTGTACAGACCCATTTTCCAGATAACTGATATCTTCAAAATTCAAATACAATGAGGTTGTATTTTTAATATAAAATTAAAAGATAAGGATAAAACTTCAAAGGCAGAGATAGTTACTCACATTGTCTCAAAACATTTTGGAAAAAGTAAGTCAGCTTTTGTATATAGCTTGTCATGAGTTTTGTATTTATATTAAGCTCTTCATTCTTTATCTTCAAGCTCACCAACTGAATGTGTCCTACAGACACTGCTTGCGCCTATGGCTTTAGGAGAGCTGGGGCCCCTTAGTCCGAGACTTGGATGGGACACCTTTGATATCCTCTAAGAGGGCTGAGCCTCTGGGTTGAATGAGCTCAAGAAATAATGAAAGGTGAAGAGCAAAAGGAAAAAGAAGAAACTTGTTCAAAGAGTTGCTAAACCAAAAAGGTGGCTTTTGAACCATACCCAAAAGTTAGCAAATAAAATCACTATACACTAGCCTAGAATGTTAACAATGCTGTTATATGGGTCTTACTTGATATAAGTTATATAGAAAAGGTGTTTGTGGGGGTGGCCGGTTAGCTCAGTTGGTTAGAGCACAGCGCTCATAACAGCAAGGTTGCAGGTTTGATCCCCACATGGGCCACTGAGTTGCGCTCTCCACAACTAGATTGAAACAACTACTTGACTTGAAGCTGATGGATCCTGGAAAAGCACACTGTTCCCAAGTTTAAAAAATAATAAGAAGAATAACAATAACAACCCTAAAAAAAGAAAAAAGAAAAGGTGTTTGTTTGTTTATAAAATCAGGGTGGGAAGCTTTCAGGAGCAAAGGCATTGTCTCAAATTGCATAAGGGCACAGCATTGCCTGAGATGTGGTAAGCTCTAACCAGCCATCTTATGTGCTAGCTGCATTTTCACATACTGGTGGTAGCTGCACAAACTGAAACAACTGGTTTGAAAAGCGTTTTGGCAATGCATTCTAAGAGTCATAACACTTCTCATCTGTCCTGTGACACAGAGATTAGTCTTCTGAGAATTTATCCTAAGGGAATGGAAAAAAACAAATGCACAATTTCCATTGCACTGTTATTTTTAAAAGCAAAATCTTGTCCATAAACTGGAAAGTCCAACAATAAGGAATGGTTAAGTAAAGGAGGTACAGTGGCTGTATGAAATATGATACAGTCGTTAAAAACATAGGCTGTGTAGTAACATCCAAAACAATGCTTAAGAAATGGGTTGGTTATTAAGTTATTGGCCCCCACCTTGAAACTCTTGTTGCCCTGTGGTGCTTAAGCTGGAACTCGGCAAACTGAATTTTTGTTTGGCCTGCTGGTTCCTTATTATATTTCACCAACAGGGGACGACACTAGAGGGAGATTGAAGGGGGGCGTGGGGAGAAAGAACAGGCCCCTTCCTGTACACTTCCTGTCTTGTCAGTTACCCTTTTATGGCCCTTCACGCTGGACAGGGGCAGTTGATCTCACCAGCAGTTGGTTCCAGTTTCCAGCTTTTACCCACACCCAGAAGCCACCTCATCAGCCCTTCCCTCAGAGCTATCAGCACCAGCCATCCTGGTGACCCCTCCCTGAGGTCTGCAGCCCCCAGCCCCCTCCCCCACGCTTCTGGTGCTGTGTACCTGGACATTTTCCCTTTGTTCCTCCACCCCCGGGGTAGTATCTGCTTCCTGCCCTTATGCTTGCTTTATTTCAGGGTCTCCTTCATGTGTTTTCAGTCCTCCAATACCTGATTAACCAATTCCTTATATTAAATTCTCTCTGCTAAATAGTGTTGTTTCTACTTTCATGGCTGGTTAAAAAAAACACACACAACAAACAGGGAAAAAAATTGTATGTATATGATGAGTAAAACCATATGAAACCATGTAAAAATAAATGTTTAAAGACAAGCATTAGAAGGAAATTTAGCAAAATCTTAATAGAGGTTGTGTTAGACAGAGAGTTAGTCTTATGAGTGATTTTTTTTTTCTTCCTTCATCCCTACTTTCTGGATTCTTTTTTTTTTTTTTTTGGTAATGTGTTTACATTACTTTCATAGTAAAAACACATATTAATATATTATAAAAGGGAGGGTTTGATTCCCAGTAAAAGAGTATAGACCTGTTAAACCAGATGAATTATAATCCGGGTAATGGAAAGTGATTGCAAATGTGATCACAATTCCACTGGGAGGGGGGTTATGTTTTGAAAAAGAGGAACAGCACCGGAAGACGAGAGTG